TCGGTCCTGACCTGGTGCAGCTGCTCCTCCAGGGCCCCGATCTGAGCCTGGATCTGGGCCAGCTGTGTGCAGTAGTTGCCCTCTGTCTCCACTAAAGAGCACTCCAGGGATTGTTTCTAGGGTTTGGTAAGACATCATTTTGTAGCTGTTACCATACTGTTTCAACATTAGCCAAATCACTTTACTTAATGCAAACAATCATATTCATCCAAACCATGCCATTTGTTCAATATTTAAGGAATAAATGTCCCCTGACACTTTGCTGTTTTATTTCTGAGGGGGTGACAGCCTTGTCTCATTAGGATGGCAGATCTTCTATGAAAAAAGAAACAATCCTATAATGAATTGTATAAATTTTGTATAAGTAGAATAAGTAAAAGCTTTATGGTACAATTATTTGGCTTATAAGCTCACGTGAGTTTATATGGATCCACAGAAGGAACTAATTTTACATGAAATAGATGTCAAAATATATTTTACAGAAACCCCGGTTTTAAATGCATTCACAGCTCCTTCTGGGCTTAATGTATTGAAGTTGTCTAGCCATGGTGGGCAGGTATAGTCTTGGAGGTTGACAATTGGGGAAGAAAAATTGTGGTTCTTGTCTCTAGCAGTGGGAACTTCCTTGAATCTTGAGTTCTTCTTTTGGAGATAATGGTATGAGATGTACAGGTTCCCTGCCTATGCCTCAGGGATATTGTGGTCTAAGGTGGGTGAAACCACTGAGCAAACCCTTAATGAAAAAGGTTATTATTATCATTACGCATGCTTAACTTTTAGAGTCAACCCTTACACCTCTGCTTTGTTTCTTATTAATTGTCATTTAAAAGGAACTTATGTGCTCTTGGTTAACTGGCCAAAAGGAATTCTAGATGAGGAAAGGTTGGAACATATTTTTGCTTTTCATAGATAGTGATTTTTGCTCCTTTTGAGTGGGAAGAGAAGATTCAGGGTAGACTTTCTTTTCCCTTTTTCTCTCTTCTTTTTCTTATTTTCTCTTTTTGCTTCTCCTTTTCCTTCCTTTCCTTTCTCTGTTTTTTTCTTTTTGTGCTGGTATGGAATGGTCTTTCTTGCCCATAGCTGATGTTCTACCACTTAAACCCTGCCTCTAGTCCAGAATTTTGCTGGTTAATTGAAGATGGGGTCTCATAGCTTTTCTTCCCAGGTTGGCTCTGTAGCACAATCTCGGATCTCAGCCTCTCGAGGATCTAGGATTAATGCCTAGCTTTCTTTTCCTTCCTTGAGTCCTTCAAAAATAATTATATGTGCCAAATCACAATTATTAGCATCTAAGCATAATAGGCAGAGAGAAGTATCATAGGCAAAATGCAAATGTGTCTTATGTCAACCTCCTAATTAGTGGATAAAAATCCTCGAATGAGTAATACTCTCTGGAAGAAAATATTCCTTTCATTTTCCCCCCACCGTCGAAAGCAAATCTGTACTTACAACCTTGTACTTAGTACTCACCGTGGCTAACAGGGATTGGAGCTCAATCTCCAGGGTTTGCATGGTGCGCTTCATCTCGGTCAGCTCGTTCCGGGCAGAGGTGGTGGCCCCGGCGTCGTCGGAGATCTGCTGCTGCAGCGAGGCGCTCTGAAACGAGGAAAGGAGGAAAGGCCAGGGAGCACAGGTTAGGGCCCTGAGCATCCTCAGACGCACGGGGTGGCCGGTGACAGGCCGGCAGGCACCTTTTCGTTGAACCAGGCCTCGGCATCCCTGCGGTTCTGCTCGGCCAGGGCCTCGTACTCGGCCCGCATGTTGTTGAGCAGCACGGTGAGGTCCACCCCGGGCGCCGCGTTCATCTCCACGTTCACGTTGCCTCCCGCCGCGCACTGCAGCGCCTTCATCTCCTGGAACAGATGGTATTTAACCACATGAGGATCTTGACTATTTGTTGTTGTTGTTTGCCAGGCCTGGGACTTGAACTCGGGGCCTGCACACTGTTCCTGAGCTTCTTTTACGCAAGGCTAGCCCTTTACCACTTGAGCCACTGTGCCACTTTTGGCCTTTTCTGTGTATGTGGTCCTCAGGAATTGAACCCAGGGCTTCATGCATGCTAGGCAAACACTCTACCACTCAGCTACATTCCCAGCCAATCTTGATTATTTTTAAAGAGTCAAGAGGAGACAAGATCCCTAGAGTTTGAAGCCATTACAGAAAAGGGACAAAATAAAAACATTTCAGGCATGGGGAGCAACTGATTAGCTCTTTTTGGTGATTTAAGATGTGACTCTGGTCACCTGATTTGTTATTTTGGTAAGGGGCCGTGTGAAAGCTGGTGAGGAAGAATGTTTTACCTCCTCATGGTTCTTCTTGAGGTAGGCCAGCTCCTCAGTGAGTGTTTCCAGCTGGACCTCCAGGTCAGTTCTGCACAAGGTCAGCTCATCAAGGACTCTGCGCAAGCCGTTGATGTCTGCCTCCACGCTCTGGTGAAGGGCCAGCTCATTTTCAAACCTGAGAAATTTTGGAAAGCCATCCTTTGTCAGTAATTCACAATCAAACTCAAATTAAGCTTTGAGGTCAAACTGTTCAAGTCATACATAAGGCTCATTTAGATCACCTAGCATGCAATAAATACATTTCTTTGAAGCAAGCGAATGGGAATATTAAAAAAAAAAAAAACTCTTCCCTATGACCTCAAGATTCAAGGTCATTTGTGAGGGCACCCCCAAGTAGTCATTCTAACCTACATGTGATTTCAAATGGAGAAACAGATCAACAAAAAGAAAGAATAAGGCCGAGTTCTAAACAAAAGAAGGGAATCTGGGTTCTGGTGGCCCACACCTGTAATCCTAGTTACTCTAAAGTCTGACATCTAAGAGTCGTGGTTTGAAGCCACCCGGGTCAGGAAAGTCCTTGAGGCTCTTATCTTCAATAACCACCAAAAAGCTAGAAGTGGAGTCATGGCTCAAGTGGTAGCCTCCCAGCCTTGAGTGAAAAAGGGAAGGGACAGAGTTCAGGTCCTGAGCTCAGTCTCCAGTACTGGCACACACAAAAATAATGATATAAAGAAAGGGATGCTTAATTCTTTTGTTTCTCTTTCTCTTCAGTTTTACTCACTTGAGTCTGAAGTCATCAGCTGTCAGTCTTGCATTATCATTTTGCAGGACGATATTGGCATTACTTGTAGTTGCAGTAATTATCTGGGAAAAATGGAGAGTTAAGAGTGAGACAATTCTTTAGAAGTTCAATTTTTCTTGACATAAAGTTACCTATGCATTTATAGTAGTATTTCTGGCACCTGTATCTAAAATATGAAAATGAGAAATGGAAACATACTCTGTTTTAATTTCCCACTGACCCGTCACAGAAACCTTTTACTTTTCCTTATGAAAAGCTTATAAAAATGCAATTGAAGTCACAGTAGTTTTAAAATATTTTAATGCTACTGAAAACATACATGTGAACCCCATATCTGTAACAGACAAAGCTACAGACAAAGCTTAGAATTTACACTGACAATAAACTACCACATATTTGGAAGTGGATCCCAAAGCCCTGCGGTGCCAGTGTACCCATTTGCACACACATGGTGCTAAGTACTGTCACCAGGCTTGACATGACAATGTGCTGCTTACCTGGTTTCTAAGATCATCAATGATTGGAAAGTATCTGCTGTAGTCATGGTCAAGACCACGGCAAGAACCAGGTCCGAATTTCTCATACCAGTCCTTGATCTTCTGCTCTAAGTCAGCATTGGCTTCCTCTAATGCTTGGACATTCTCCAGGTAGGAGGCCAGGCGATCATTGAGGTTCTGCATGGTCACCTTCTCATTGCCCGACAGGAGGCCATGTTCATTGCTAGTGAAGGTAGAACACGGAACACTTCCACTGCCCAGCCCTCCACTGTAGCTTCCAGCTGATGAGCTGCCCCCAAAGGCACATGAGAAGCCATTTCCGATGCCTGGCACACCACATGTATTTCCAGCCCCCAACCCTGACCCTCCACTTGAGAGGCGCACAGAGCCCACTCGTCGGGATGCTGAAGAGAAGCGCACAGACATGTTGTCCAAGCTGGCAGTGATGCTCAGGTAGCGAGTGCCCCACTCAGTTGAGTTTGCTTTATATACACATTATTAGGGTGTTTCGTGGTGAACTCTTGCTACTCATAGCAAAATAGGGCTTGCCAGCTCATTGTGAATTATCCATAATTGGGTGATTTTTTTCCCCTTTAATGAGTGTCTTCATCCTCTTGTGTCCACTTCTGTAGGTGGATGGTTCCCTTGGGGTTATTTGTTATCTCTGGTGTGGGGCAGGGTGGAGTATTATCAAGGTTATTATAGGGATGCTTTGCAAATTTGCTATGAGTAACCCTTCCTGTCTTCTAGGCTTTGAGAATGTGAGATTTCTGTAAGAAATTTTTAAAATGTGTGATAGACCAGTTTCTCTTTCCTTTGCCCAAGTCAGTAAACATCGCATTGCTTCAGCTAGTGAAATATCACGCGTATAGTTTTTTTTCTTTAATATCAAACATGTTGAAAATAACTTTCCAGACTATGATTCCAGAGGAAGAAAATCAGGTCATACATGAAAATGGAAGGAATAAATCTTATCTTCTTTGGAGACTTGAAAGTCTTCCCTTGATCTTTATCCTTCCTGAATGATCACTCACTCTGTCTTGGGTTTTTGTCTAAGCTAGGTTGCTAATCAGGTTATGTAAGGGAATTGGTTTCACCTCTCTGGGCCTCAGTTTCCTCAACTGCCATTGAAGAATTTAGATTAGGACTCCTGTGTTCATTCTTCCACTTTGGTTCTGCTACTTCAGAAATATGATGATTGGAGTCACTTATTACTACACATTTGCCTTAATCTTGTTTCTTACATTTAATTTACAGTCTTGGTTGTGTTAGGTACTGATCACTTCAGTTTGACAGTTTCAGGAGTTGCTGTCTGAGAATGCTTCAGCGCTGGTTGTTCCCCTTTTCTCTCCCATTCGTTCCCCCTACACCCTATGTTTTGTTATTCCTTACAGTTTGGGGCTTGGCATGGGATTCTCTTCTTGATTCAGCCCTTACCTTGTTGACTTACTAGTCTCTTTTCCTATGCCTTTCCCCCATTTTTCCTTGCTGTCCTTCCCCCCTATTATTTTTTTTCCTTAAAATTAAGAATAGTGATTTTTAAAATTTGATATGGTGAGTGGAGGAAGTGAATTTATTTCAAGTACTCTGTGTACATGAACCCTTGCATTCCAGATGTATGTTAATTACAAAAAATTCAATCCTACCATTACCATTGGCATTTTGTAATGACATTTTCATGACCTTACTGTCCTGTGGACTTACAATTTGAGTTTAAACCTCCTCAGATTGAGAAACTCCAACCCAATAAGTTCATTTGGAATGGTTTTCAGGTTGGTCATTGATCCATTGTACCCAAGACGACCTTTCTTGGCACCATGGGCCTCTCAAAGTTGTTCCAAAAACATGGAATTAACTAAAATCAGGAGGAAAGCTTGCCTTCTCAGCCTATCTTTTACATCCGTCTTCCTTTGCTCTTGAGTTCTCTCCCCTGAAAATCATCTTGGGTTCCAGGGAGGAACAGGACTGACCAGTAGATAACATCTTCAGGATGAGGAGCTGAGACTACACCCAGGAAAAGGAAAGGTGGAGCCTGGCAGGACAGACCATCCCTCCAATGAGGACAATTACCTGCCATGATAAAGCTGCAGTGTGGCACAGTAGTAATCATCTCCTGGGAACCCCTTGAGTGATGTCAGTGATAACTTAGCCAGAACCCTTCCCAGAACCATATCAGAGATAACCATCAACCAGGCTATATTTTGCCTTGGACTATTTAATTATGACGGCCTCTCTGCACCTCTCCTAGTTCTTCTATTTAAACCCAAAGATCATCTGTCTACTGCAGAGATAGGCTCAAGTTGCACATTTGATCTCCCTTTGTGGTGTGCTCACATCGTTCTCTGCCCTTCATGGTTCCTCATCTCTTTATTTGGCAAGTGTGTGTGTGTGTGTGTGTGTGTCTCTGTGTGTGTGTGAGTGATCAGACCTGACATCATGGAACATCTGAGATTGTCTCTGTGGTCCAGTCAGAAGGAAATGAAGTCACTTTGGCACTACAAAGTATCAAACATGACCAGATCATGGCTTTCTTCCAGAAGTGTAGCCCCCAATGAGGAGAATCTGAGTGAGGGCGCCAGTTGGTCAGGACAGGGTCATGGAGGAAAAAGGTATGTTTGGAAGAACCCCGTACTTGGTTTGATGTTCCCTGTTGCCACCATAAATATTTTTGTTGATTGTATCTTTGGACATTGGTCTTATAAGAGACTTTTATTGGGATCCTGGAGTGTGTAAGGGAGCAGAGGAATATGCGAGATGTTTGTCTGTAGTTGGTTCCACATTACCTCTGAGATACAGAATATAGACAAAGCCCATGTGCACTGCATTCTGGCAGCCCTGTGAGGCAGAGGGTCACCCCAAGTACAAAGTTGGTGTATTGTGACTATCACTAAGCCAGGCTTCTGTTCTGACAACCCCAACAAGCCAGGCTTTCCATGCAAACTAGAACTTACTTCAAATATAGAAGGAAGGTACTGGTGTTTCAATAAATATGAATGACCAAGGTACCCTATCACATGCGGACTTTCTTGTATTAGTCATGTACTTATGCTAATACTATTACTATTATTGCTTTCCAATAGAAAGGTAGCGTAACCTCATAGTTCTTTTCCTTTGAGCCATTTCTTACTCATCAGTAAGCCGAAGGCAGAGAGGGCTGGTAGGATATGCACATGTGAAGTGAAATAAAAGCAACTGAGTTTGTTGTATGCTGTGTCCTCTTATTTGGTAAGAATAAAATACCCATGCTTGTGTGAACTACAAAATATGGATTGTGTAATTCTGGTATTGGATATCTAGGTTAAATGTCCTTATGTTTGAATTTAAAACTGGCATTGAGCAACATATAAAAATGTGTGGTACAAAGCATGTAACAACTTAAAATTTTATTTTTTCCCTTACTGAGAATGACATAGCAACAAAAACCCCCAAACAAACCATAAAACCTAAAATGAAAAGCAAAACCAAACCAACTTCAAAATTCCAAAAACAAAAACAGCCAAAATGCAGGACAAATTGAGAATGTGACTGGAGAAGAGGGAAAAAAGCATAGTATTTTTGTGCCTTTAATAGCATATTTCTTTTTGTTTTTGAAAAGGGGACCTCACACTTTCATTTTCCACTAAATCCCAATTACACTCAGCTAATTAAGTAGCTGGTCCTATGCATTGTAGATTTGGGAGTCATTTCCCCAGGAATTTCTAATGCTTGCTTTATTGGGTGTATTTTGACTTTTTGCTAATATTTGAGTTAATATTACTGTTAATATTTCTTTGAGTCCCTATCTGACTATGGAGTTGTTGGGTAGAATTCCTGCTCTCCCTGGAGCTTTTCATTAGAATCAGGCCGTGTATTTGAGAAATAAAAGAGCTGCTTTCATTTTCTCTTCTACTATCCTAAAATGGAAGGTTAAAATAACCATAATGCTTCTCAATCTTACGAAGTTTTAGTCTCATGAACAGATGCTGGTGGCTTGAATTTGGTTGGCCATGTGTTTTCAGATTTTTTTTTTTCTTTTTTCGTTTGTTGGTTGTGGGGCCTGAACTCTGTGCCTGGGTGCTGTCCCTCAGCTCTTCAGCTCAAGGCTAGCACTCTACCACTTGAGCCACAGCGCCACTTCTGGCCTTTTCTGCTTATGTGATGCTGAGGAATCGAACCCAAGGCCTCATGCATACAAGGTAAGCACTCTGCCACTAAACCACCTTCCCAGCCCAAAGATTTTTCTTTTTGATGGTTGAAAAAATTTAAAAAGAATGATACTTCACGATACATGAAATTGGTTTAAATTCAAATTTTAGTGTCCCTAAATAAAGTTTTGTTGGAACACTGTTGTGCTCATTTGGCTGTTGTTTATGACCGTTTTCTGTTATAATCACTAATCTGAGCAGTTGAAAAAGACATTGAGGCCTGAAAAGCCTAAATGTTTGCTCTCTGAGTCTTCATAGAAAAAGCATCAAAATTCTTCTCTAGGAAAACAAGAAACTCATTAACATGAGGCTCATGTCTGTGGATCTTTCCAGAGATTTTCCTTTAAGTAAGAAACAGTTCCCTGGAAGTATCTAGATTCCCAGCAGGGTTCAAGATAGGCTTTGGTAAAACATTAAACATGTGCCATCTAGTGTTGGGGTTTCTCAGTTGCAGGAGAATTTCTGAACTTTCCTAGATTATTTGCCTGTTTATAGAAATGGTGGGATGTAAAGACAATGCCTAGTGTTTAATGTTTAAATGCCGTGCACTAGTATTTAAAACTGGACTGAAAGCTGGGTGGTGGTGGCTCATGCCTGTAAGCCTAGAAACTCAGGAGGCTGAGATCTGAAATTCAGGGTTTGAAGCTAGCCAGGGAAGGAAAATCTGTGACACTTTCATCTCTACTTATCCACCAAAAAGCCCAAAGTGGAGCTGTGGCTCAAGTACTAGAGTGCTAGCCGTCAGCAAAAAAGCTCAGGAGAGTGCCCACACCCCAAGTTCAAGCCTCAGTACTAGCACCAAGACAAAAACAAAAACAAAAAAATAAAACAAAAAACTCCTTTAGATTGAAATTCAGTTATCAGATTCCATGAGTGTCTTCCTAAGAAACAATACCATAACAAATATTTGTAAGCCATCAGTGAATGGAAATGGGTGCATATCAACTTTTTATTTGAAAACAATATATAACATCTGAGAAAGCAGGTATTTGAGCTAAGAATCTTTTCTTGAAGAGTAGAAAGTGTTTTTATTTGTTCTTAGAGGAATGCAGTTGTGCCGAATCTTTCCCGAGTTATTCCTTCCCCTAAATGGACAGCTAGAAGGGTGTTTTCTTTTCTGTCTTGCCATTTGTCATTTTAGATGTCTTTTCCTCAATAGATTGGATCCTTGATGACAGAACTTTACCACGTTGATCTATCTCTTCCACCACAGTCTTTACCAGTGTGGTTTTGGGCGAATCTAGAAATAAAATACATAGGAATCCATATATTTAGCCTAAAAGATTATGTGACAAAGAATTCTGCTGCTGGCTGTAATATATTACACCTAAAATTGTCTGGGGAGCCAGGATAGATTAATAATAACAGTATGGCACTGCTGGATAAAATTAAAAATTTAGTCAGAACACTTTAGTTAGAATCAGTTATGGTGTGTGGCTATATCATAGCAAGGCCATTAATGTAAAAGCATTTGCTGCAATAGAAATAGAATGGGATTTGATTACCTTTAGGTGGATTCCCTGAGCTATCTGAACCAAAGCCTTTCGATTTGGAGCACGAACTGTAAGAAATAAAAAAGTTTTTTTGTATTTATGTTTATTATTATTATGAGCGCAAGAGAACATTAGACTAAGTGGAATAGACTAAGGTTTTCAAATGCAGGAGCTTGAAGTAATAAAATGTTATCTAAAGAGAAAATAATGGACCATAGGCTAGCCTGAGCAAAAGCATGAGACCCTCTCTGGAAAATAAGTGGACACCAATAAAGGCTGAGTGTGACTCAGGTATCAGAGTGCTAGTGATCACAGGTCCTGGGTAAAGACTTTCAATACTGCAAAGGGGGGGGGGAGGAGAGAGAGAGTGACAGACAGACAGACACAGAGACAAATGGACACAGAGACAAAAGAGACAGAGAGACAGGGGATATTAAAAGAACCCCCCTTTCCATTTGATTTTGAAATTCAAGAGTTTAATATATAGTAATTTATGGATGTATCTAAAGGTTCATATATTATCTTAAGGTACATATATACATACATAAAACAACAAAGTATTTTTTTACCTCCCAGGATCCATCTCTCTCTCTATATCTATGTATATAAAGATGGATATATATAAATGGATATGTATAGATGGACATAGATAGATAGATGGATAGATAGACAGATATAAGTGCTTCTATGGAGTACGTTTATTTCAGAGCAGAAGTAATATAAGGAATGAACTGGAAGCAGGAGAATGCTTGCAGACAGGGCTTCAGAAGATGGTTGAAATCTGCAATGATTAATGTGAGCAATAACCAGGAACTTGAACCATAAGGACTGGCATCATCTAAGACTCTGTGATGTACAAAATGAAGATGAGGTGACTGCATAGGCAAGAGGCAGACATGCTTTAGTGTAGTGGGAAAACAAAAAGTGTTAGCAGTCTGGAAAGATTAGATGCAGGGTAGAGCTGAGGCTCAGGACGTCCATGTGGTCTCACTTACTTTCCATCTCCATCTATCAGGCGGCAGTAGGTCTCAATCTCCTTCTCCAGGTGGGCCTTGATATCCAACAGTTGCTCATGCTCCAGCTTCTGGCCCTCAGTCTCGGTCCTGACCTGGTGCAGCTGCTCCTCCAGGGCCCCGATCTGAGCCTGGAT